TTAAAAAATGGGTTCTAGGGCCGGCCCGTGGCTCACTTGGGAGAGTGTGGTGCTGATAACACCAAGGCCACGGGTTCGGATCCCTATATAGGGATGGCTGGTTAGCTCACTTGGGAGAGCATGGTGCTGACACCAAGTCAAGGGTTAAGATCCCCTTACAGGTCATCTCTAAATAAATAAATAAATAAGAAATGGGTTCTAGTCTCAGTTTGACCACTAACTTGCTTTGTGATGAGAACAATTATCTAACCTTCTTTGGCCTTAATTATCCACACTACTCTACTTACCTGAGCTGTTATAAGAATCTAATTTTTAAGAGATGTAAAAACACTTAGAAAACCCATTACTTCTTCCTTCATTCTATTTAAACATTTTGAACATCTACTCTCTGCTAAGCATTATGCCAGGCATGGAATTTACAGATAGTAAGGAAAGCAGAAACTAAATTATTACAATTCTGATAAGTACTATGTAAGAGAAAAAAACTAGGAGCATAAATCAAGAAACTTAACTTACTCTGAGGGTCAGGGATGGCTTCCCTGAGGAATCAACATAACAGAGTCATAAAGAATGAGTAGAAATTAGGCAGAGAAGTGTAGGAAAAAGTTGCAGGCAGAAGTGTAAAGGCTTTGCAGCAACATTTAAATGTAAAATAGAATTATGGAATACTTAAATAACTTTTCAAAAACTTTTGAAGAAATTAAAAATGTAATCTGTAACATTAAAATTTAACCTACAAAACTTGCCATTTCTAAGCCCTACCTTCTTATAGACTCATCTATAGCTTGGATTATTTTGTTAATTGTCCAGTTTTCCCTAAAACAAACAAACAAACAAACAAAAGCCCACTGAGACCCTAGCCCTTGGTCTATTATTTTCTACTATGAACCAATACTTAGACAGCAAAACAGATAAATGTCCATCTATGAACGGTGGTTTGGAACACAGCATAAAAGTCTGAATAATCTTTTGTTTTTAGATATATTCTTAAGTGCATGCAAATTCAGACTTTTTATAGCTCCCTGGCATATTTTCCATTTAAGCATATGTAACAAACCTCTCTATCCCTCTATTAAAAAAAAAAAAAGTCAGTGCTTTGAGTTATCTTTTACATTCACAATTGTAAGACTCCTTTTATATTGGTAAAGTACATCAGATTTAAATAGCATGATTGGTTAATTTTTTTGAAGTTGCTCTGCTATTTTTCTCTTTAGATTCAATATCCTTTAGAACAGCAGGTTTTGTAAGACAATCATGGTACATGTACATACCAAGATGTTTTAAGATGTTATAAATGCTTACTAGGGGCTTTTCCTTCTCAGAGCATATTGAGGTACTAGTAGTTAATCTGAAGATTTTCACCCTGCTCCAGACACATGTAATTTAAAATCATTTTATGTCAACAGCATATATTACTTATTTTCTTGAATTCTGAACCCATTAAATTGTCTCCATCTACAAATTAGCTTTCTATAGATGCATATTTAAAGTATTATGCAAATTTCTTTATTCCTACTTTCTGAAAATATGCATAATTACTGATTTGCCATTCTTTATTCTTTCACTATAGGTTACACATAAAATATTATAAGATACTATTTTAAAACTTTATCTCTGCTTATATAAATAGCTCTTTCCAGTGTAACATATTTTATGTAGCTAAGCAATTTTAAAACAATTTTCTTGGAGCTTTTATTAGCTTATTTCAGAATACCTCCTGAACTGACCTGAGAATGTTCTGGTATTCCAATATGCCACGAACATGTTTCTTATATTTTATAACTAACCCAACACTTCCAATTGCTGAAGTTTTACAATTGGTAGAAGTAACAATGTTTTATCTCTTCTATTAGTCATGTGTTACTAATTATTCAGAGAGGGGAAGTATCAAAATTCATTTATAAATAGCTGCATGATGTAATGGTTCAAACATACAGGATTTGAGGGTACATAAAGAGATTTTATAAAAATGTTAAGCTTTTTAATGTATTCATGTGTTCTTTTGATTTAGAAGGAATAAAACCTCGATGAGAAAAAAAAACTCAAGGTTATAGACACTTTGTACATAGTTCTTCTAGTAACAATTTTCATTAGAAATCATTCTTTTCCAAATACTCTAAAGAGCTCTTGTAACATTTTGATTTGATAGTTACATTGGACATACTTAATAAGGCAAATTTTCTCATTAGCACATCAAAAACACAATGGAAAAGATCAGAGATTTTAAATGAAATAAAACTGTTGATAATTTTCATCTTTAATATTCATTTCATATAGAATTAGTTCAAAAATTCTTAACAAGGGAATTACTGGTTGATCATGAAGCCTATATAGAAAATGTTTTCACATTATCTTGGATCCATGATACATATTTACTTAAACAGTATATTAGGGGGAAAAATGAGAAAAATCTTCCTATGTCAAAATCAGGAGTAAAATGCATTGGTACCTTATGCTGCCAAAAGTAAGGCACTTGACTGAAAAAACACTTGATCATAATACATAATTGATACACACATATTGTGGCTCACTTGAAAGCATTCTTAAGTCCATGGTAATTTTTTTAAAAAAGATTAAACCATTTGAATGGTCAAGTTAATTGACTCTTAAGAAAGAAAAGTTTTCATAATAAAGCTTTCAGGGGTTTTTTTAATTAAAAAATAAATATATTGGAATATTCATGACCTGTCTCTATTTTAAATTACTAAAGAAATGTTTAAATTGAATCTAGATAGCACGAAATATGTTAAAAATAATTTCCTCAGGAAAAGAAAAGCTTAGCATGCCATCAAGATATTGGTCAAGAACAGAGAATTTCAAAACATTCAAGTTGTATTCCTTTTGTATTCCATACCTTCATAACACAAGACCATAAGTATAGAATGTCATATGTAAGACAGTTACACTTTGGTGATCACATAGCCTGCCAGTTTGGAGTAAATTCCATAGTATACATTGTACTTTTATGGAAAGAAGTAATCTGCTACTACTATACTAAAAAATCCATATCTTAACTGTTATGTGTACTTCAATATTTCAGTATTACATTTTAAAAATAACATCAATTATTTTAGTTTGGCTGTATACATATTGTAGAGAAAGTAAATCTTTGTAAATAGTAAATGTCAATTCACAAAGGCCATTGAGTAGGACTGAAAGAAAAAACGACTTAAAAAGTAACTGTATGTAAAAATGCAATATGCTGTAGAAGTAATGCATATATGAAACACTGTCTGCCCAGTGTTGTTCAGGGTACTTTGAGGAGTATGAGTGCATGCACACACACACACACACACACACACATGCATATATGAAACACTGTCTGCCCAGTGTTGTTCAGGGTACTTTGAGGAGTATGAGTGCACGCACACACACACACACACAGAGAGAAGAAAATTAATCCATGTGAAACAACTACAGAACAAAATATTATCAATTTTGACATGACAGCATTTTAGAAATGAGCAACAGATTAGTGGTTGCCCAGGTTTAGGGACAGCAAAAGGTGGGTATGATCATAAAGGGGCAACACAAGGGATCCTTGTGATGATGAAAGTGTTCTGCATCTGGGCTGTGGTGGTGGTGGATACACCTGGTATAAAATTGTATAGAACAAAACAAACACACAAACACAGTAAGTACAATTAAAACTGGGGAACCTAAATAAGATCCATGGATTTTTATTAACGTCAACATTCTGGTTGTAATATTCTACAGTTTTGCAAGATATTACCATTGTAAAGGGTACACAGAATCTCTTTGTATTATTCCTTACAACTGTATGTGAATCTATGATTATCTCAGACTGAAGGTTGTTTTTAGAGATTATAAAATACACTTCCTCCGTTCTTGATATATCTCCTCCCCCCAATAAAAAACACATAAAGAACAAATGCCAAAACCCCAGGGACAAAAGAAATAACCACATAGGTGCAATAGTGATTCCCATCAAAGAAACCCAGAGTAAACAATATGTCTAAATATTCTTGCTCTGTCAATATGTTCTTAATTTTCTTTTAAACATGTGTTGATTTAAATCAGTTTTAAAGATCACATCCTATAAACTGAAGATTCTCAGAACACAGTAGTGATAAAATGCAGTTCAGATGGTGGTGGAATCATTCTTAATCAAAAATATACGAGGGAGAGGACAAGAAAGAGAGAACCACCTTCCTCTTCTGTATCTGTTCTGTGAACAGGTAAGAAGCAGATCCCCACCCCACCCCACCCCAGCTCGCTCTCTAGAGTGTGCATGAGTTCGGACTGAGGGGTAGACTAAGCGCACCATACGGATTTCGCGAAGCCAGGTCTTTACCAACTCCGAATCTCTTGGAAAAGATTCAAGCACATCATTCCCTTCACAAATGCAAGACGAGAAATGATGTGTACACCCGTCTGGAATTCCTTTGCTGTGAAGAAGTCGAAGGTGATCAAAGGCAGGGGGACATGCAGCGGCACCCGGATAAAACAGGTCTGATTGGGGTAGATTCCCATTCACGTAAAATGACTTCCAGGCAATTCGAATGGCCTTGACTTTCCACCTGACACTTGCTTGATTACAGTGAAGACGGAAATAGGGACATCGGGCCCCTCTCACACCAATCTGGAAGTTTTACCCTCTCAGCCTCACCCCCAAACACCCGCTACTGAGACCGAGAGCTTCTACAGCCTTCCAGGTGGGCTGGAGCAACTTAGAGACGTCGTCCTCCCGTCTCCACCCCGCCGCACCCCAGAAGCTCAGCCGCAGGAGAGCGGGGTGGCCAGCAGCTGGGGCGACGTGGGGGACTGGGGACCCGGGGCCGGGCGAGGCCAGGAGTGGGGGACGATGAGAGGCTGGGGATACCGGACGAGGGGCGAGAGCGCCGAGGGCGCAGGGGGACTAGGGCCCGGAGTGCGGGGCTCAGCGAGGCCAGGAGCACGAGGTGACGCGGGACCGAGGGTGCGGGGCGAGGGCCGAGGCGAGGAGCACGGGGTGACGCGGGGTCGGGGTGAGGGCTCACCCGCGTTCTGCAGCGTCTCGATGTTTTGGGGTCTGGTCGCCAGCTCCGCAACCATCTGCACGAACTGGGTCCGGGCTTTCTGGTACTGCTCGAACACTGCGGGGGAGAGAGCCGGTGGAGCTGGCCCGGTCGCCGCCGTCGTCCCCCCC